GTGTCAAAATCGGGGCCAGCTCCTCACGAATTTCATCCACGCTGGCTCTGCCAAATCCGCGTTTATCCGCCGTTTTGACAAGATTTTGATTGTACGTATTACAGGGGCAGCCCAGAACATGTGTACACACCACGATTTTCCCACGGTAAGGGGAAAACGAAACAAAACGTCTCAGTCGCGAACCAACGACCTGTACTGTTCACGTCTAGCCACTGCCCGCATGTGCTTGCCATGTACACCCACTATCCAACCAGGCCTGTCGAAGTTCCTGGGGCCCCTACTTGAAGTCCCCAGCTCCTCCCTATCTGACCCTGTTTTGGCCGTAGCTGAGTGTTTTGGCGCCCTTAACGGTCACGGGCGCAAGCCAAAGTGAAAACTTGATATCCGGGCTTGCACTTACACTATCTTAGCTAAGGGAAAGTTCTGCTGCTCCAAAGCTAACTTTGAGATATCACAAACACGGGATTGGCTAGAAAACGCTAAGGGAAAAATTTCCCTTGGCTCGCTCTCGTGCAACCTAAGGAGAAAGGGGGGAGGAGTGGGGGGGGGGTGAGGCATAATTTCTTCGGGGGGGGTCCTAGAACCGGAAATCAAAACCTTTTGGGTGGGGAAGGCCTGATTGGAGCACTTAACGCATCCGGGGAAGGGTCGAACGAAGCACTTAGTGGCACGGGTGCAGGGCGATCCTAACACTTTATGCAGTCGAGCTGGAGAGAAAGTAGCCCGGAATTTCAGGGAATTAAGGGCATATGCCCGTCAATCGACAGGCCTGCATCCAACCCACTCCCCAACGTCATTTCTTGGTTGACATAGCATACAATTGCATTGCATGTTCCGCCATTTCTCTTCGAACAGACCAGACTCTGACACAACAAACCAGGCCATGCGTCCATGACCCAAACCACCTCCAGCGAGCTGGCTTCGTTCCACCCCGCCAGGACGGTCTGACAACAATCCTCTTGCCTCCACCTCATGGGTGCCTGCTATTTTTCCATCAGCTCAGTTCCTTTTCACAACTGCTCGAACACTCTCACACTTGACAGCCTCTTGCTCTAACAGTACATATTGTGCATCAGCGGTGTGATTCCCCGAAGCCTTTCTCTTCCCAATTCGTTCTTCCAACAGAAGCCATAACTTCTGTTTCCTATTTGCGTCACCTGTTCACAGTATCTAAATTAGGTTTACCCAGACATAGACTGAACTAGTTTGGTGAAGAATACGAAAAACTCTCGAGGTGGGTTCGTTCTCCGAAGCGCACGAGAAGTATTAGACTCTTACAACGGATGGCTGCAGCTGCTGCTAGTGGCTGGGACGACGCCACCGCGCCGCATATGAATAAGTACGCCATGTTCGCTCCCGGAACCGACCGCACCATCAGCAAGGAGGAATGGCGCCGCCAGCAGGCGACGCTGATTAAAGCCATCGACCCGGAATTCTCGGGGAGCCTCGTGTGCCCCGTTACTGTCCGCAACTGGCGGAAACTCGAGGCGAGCGCCGCCCCGTCAACCGCCGACAACGGGACGGCGGAGGTGTCAGAATTTAACGGCATGGCGGCTGCTGCGGATTCGACGGCGGCGACGGTGGGAAATTTCCCGCCAGGAACGGAGAGTAAAAGCGTGTTTCCGCCGAGCGCGGAGGGCGCTTCGGCGGGCTACTACGCGCCTTCTATCGCGTCGTCTACTACCACCTCTTCCGTCTCCACCTTCACCGATTCCTCCGCGTCAAGCGCGTCGCTTTCCCCCAGCCCGCCTCCCCCAAGTGCTCTCAACGTTCCCCCTTCCCCCAGTGCCGCCAACGCACCCGCTGCCGCACCCGCCGCCGCACCCGCCGCCCCCGGTAGTACCGTCTCGTCGGCCTCCAGCTCACCTGCCAACTCGGGGAAGTTCCCGCGCGCGCGCATGTCGCTCGCGCAGCAGATCCGCGAGCAGCAGATCAACTCGGGCAGATTTAAACCCATCGTTTCGGGCAGATTTCGCGACGGGGCGTCGGACAGTGGGCGGTTCCCCATGTCGCCCCTGGAACCGAATTCGGGGCCCAACTCGGGAAAGTTCTCCGCAGTTTCCCCTTCTTCCAGCCAGGGAAACTCGGGCGCGTTCCCCAGCCCCGCCGGGCACTACGCGACGAGATCGATGGGCGCGGACGGGGGGGGCGGCGCAAGCGGGCCGCTCGCAATGGCGCAGCCGTCGGCGCTTTGGCGACAGAGCAGCGACGGGCATCGCATGGCGGGTGCGACGATGGAACAGAGTCGCATGGCGGGTGCGACGATGCAGCCAGGCCAACAGGCTCCGCTGATGGGTTTCTGCATGGGCGCGCAGGGCATGGGCGCGCAAGGCATGAGCGCGCAGGGCATGGGCGCGCAAGGCATGAGCGCGCAGGGCATGTGCGCGCAAGGCATGGGCGCACAAATGATGGGCGCTCCTGGCGCGACTGTGGGCGTTGTCCCTGCGATGAGCCCTCCTGCGATGGGTGGTCCGTCGCAGAGCAATAATCTGTCGCCGCGCGATATAATTCTCCTCCGCCCGAATAAGTGGAGCGGCGCCAACGTTGCGGATGCCCCCCTCCTCCCGACCTTCGGCTCGTGCGCTCTCTCCGATAGTGAGTTCACCACTCTTACGTACGCAGAAGCAAATACATGTTTGAAAGTGAAGAATAAATATGAACAAAATCGGTGCATCTTGGGTTGATTTTTTTTCCCTTGTCGTATTGTCCCTTAACACTCATTTTGCTGTTATGCTTTCTCCCCATTACCCCTGTTTTCCTCCCCGCAGCTGCTTCACAATGCTCAAGCCACGATTCGTTCGCCTCGACCCCTCAGCTCTCTCGACCCGTTCCTACCTTCGCGTCGCGCCCGCCTAACACGGGTAGCTGGGATGGCGGCAACGCAGATGATGACGACGAGGAAAAAGAGCTCGATTTCTCCTCAGTCCGCTCCGTTTGTCTCAATTTCGAGGAGGTTTTAGAAACCTCTGAGACGAAGGAGTTTAACCGGGTGCGAATCGAGACCATTGATATTGTCCCGTTGATTTCCGGGATGAAAAGCCCGTTCACGGCTGCAGCTGCCGCGAACCTTCCCGAGCATGTGCTGTTCGCGCTGACATTTGCCGGATCGGATGATATTTACCTGCCCGGAGATGAGTCGGTTCTGAAACTTTTTCCGAGCCGGTTTCAGACGAAGTACTGGGAGCAGGAGCGGCGGAGGCAGGAGGAGAAGGGTCGGAAGGAGACGAAGATGTGGCAGTCATGGCAATCCCAAGGGAACTCGAACAAGCAGGAGCAACAGGTGTGGCAACCACCGCCATCACCTCAGCAACAGCAACAGCAGCAGCCTCCGCAGCAGCAGCAGTGGCAGCAGCAGCCTAATCAGCAACAGCAGTGGCAGCAGCAGCAGCCTATTCAGCAACAGCAGCAGTGGCAGCAGCAGCAGCAGCAGCAGCCGCCTCCGCAGCAACAGCAGCAGTGGCAGCAGCAGGGACAGCAGCAGCAGCAGTGGCAGCAGCAGGGACAGCAGCAGCAGGGACAGCAGCAGCAGCAGTGGCAGCAACAGCAGCCACAGCAGCCTCAGCAACAGCAGTGGCAGCAACAACAACAGCAGCTTTCACAACAAAATTGGCAACAGCAGCAGCAGCAGCAGCAGCCTCAATGGTAACAGCTGGTACAGCACCAGCTGTAGCTCGAGTGACAAGAGTGCCGGGTTCTCAGCTGTCTCTCCCCGTCGCTCGCCGCTATGGTAGCAGCCTGCGCAGGATACGGGACAGCCCCAGCTGTAGCTTGGGTGACAAGGGTAGCATGACAACCCCCAGATGGTGCAGGTTGCAGTGACCCGGCTGTCCCTCGCGCCAGGTTCTCAGCTGTCTCTTTCCGCCTTTGTCTGCAATGGTAACAGCTGGCACGGGACAGCCCCAGCTGTAGCTCGATTGGCGAAGGGTAGCATGACACCCCCTGGTCCTGGGCTTAGGAGCTGACACCGCCCGTGAAGATACTGGAGGGTGTCGGTTGGGCTGTGTATGCTCTTTTGATAGTGGAGGAAACATGTGTTTTAGTTTATCTGCTTGCTGCAGATGGTTGTGCAGGCAAATGAGGTTTGTGGGATCTTCCTTGTTAGTCAATGCCTTGTGTTTTTATTGTTTTCAAATAAATGATGTGTGGAGCACCAGTTACGGCTCAGGAGCGCATGAATTGTGCCATTAGTGTTTGATAAGGGGTAGAGATGTTTTTATTGATCGTTCTTTTTTAAGTCCTGAGAATTTAGTCTCAATAAATCTTATCTGCTACGTCAAATTGGAGTAGCACTTTGGCGAGTATAGCAGGCAGGCGCTGGATAAAATTGCGGCAGCGATCCTTCGCGCGAAGCCTCGTCACGCCACGCAACCTCCAGAGCTGTCGCACTTTTGTGACTATAACGACGGGTGCCAACAATGTTCCTGCGTGGCAGGTCACTTCTCCCCTTATTGCGGAAGTTTTGAGACATTCAGCAAGCAATTCAGGTAACCAAACCAGCAGAGATATTGTGTAACCGCTCCATATCACGACATAACTCCCTCAACCGTACAAACAAGGCCGTCAACAACCACGCTTGGGAACTCCAACGCAAGCATATCCCGCGATGGCCTAAGGCGATGGATGCTTTATCAGGACGCCATAATTGTCAAACCTTCTTATCTCGCAATTCAGCTCGCGACTTTCCCAATTACGAGCTGTCGCTCCTAACTTTCACCCGTCAGCATTCCCCGTCCCTCAGCCATTTGCTTTGGATTCGCCGTCGAACCTCGCGTCCGGCCACTCTCATCAACCCAGTTTTAATTCAGAGGAAAAAAACTTCCAGATTCCAGACGACCAGCTCAATCGATCTGGACAGACTCGCGAGCCGCTAGCATTCCATTACTTCCATCCTTGATCATCTTTTGCCAACCTCCGCGTGCTCGTTGCCCCGTTCCCTTCGAGGCTCCTCCCGTCGTTACTGATTTCGTCGGCAACAAACAACTACTTCAACTACGCTAATAATGGCGTCGAACGGAAGCTTCTGGGCGACCGCGCGAATGTTCGTGCCGTCTGCGCTGGAGAGGCCTCGCGATCGGGACCAACGCGTGTTCGTCGCTTCGCCTGTCGAGTCCGTCGCGCAGCAAAGCGCGGAGCAGAAGGCCAAGGCCCAGGAGTGCGTCGATGGTGAGTCGACTTAAATTTTGCTAATTACACCCGGCTTTTGTTGTTCGTCGTTTCGCCTGTGGAATCTGTCGCGCAGCAGAGCGCCGAGCAGAAGGCCAAGGCCCAGTAGTGCGTCGATGGTGAGTCGACTAAAAAGTCGGCTCATTAGACGCGGTTATTATGTTGATAAGTTGTTTTCTGTCGTCGCTTCGCCTGCGGAGTCCATCGCGCAGCAACCGTTTTGTTTTTGCCAACAAGCCTTTCTGTTTGCCATCCCATCCACCTGCAGCCGGCGTTCGGGTGGGTTTCTATAACGCTGCATGGGCCGCTGCGCTTACGACGCCCCCAACAGTGAGCTTTTCCACCCCCCCTTGACTTGTTTTTGTCCTCCTGTTTTCTTTTGAAAGGAAAAAAACAGAAAGAAAAAAGAAACGATATTAGTAAGGATCAAACAGTTGCTTAGGACGACCCCATCAGTGGGCCTTTCCTAATCCCCTTGTCTTATTTTTAAGCTCCGTGTTGGAGTTTTTTTTTTTTTTTTTCAAAAACTCAATACTTGCACCTCGTTTATGTGATGCATCGCAAGCCTTCAAATACGCTCACTGCGCTGCCCGCATCAGTGAGCCTTTCTTTGCAATGTAAGTTTCGAAGCATGAATTCCTGTTTCTCTGAATCTGAGGCGTGAATTTGATAAACATTCATTCCCCTGCGACAATCAGCCAACTACCTTCTCCCCATTTGATTTGTTACGCTGACTGCAAGGTTCATGCCATCATTTATCTCACAAATACCTCTCCAATCCCCCTTACCTTCTCCCATTTCCCTGTTTCCTCTTGGATTGGGGCCATGCTTCGTCCTCCCCAATCTCCACACATTTCTCACAATTCACAATTTAGATCGAATTATTGTCTGCTGGATTGCAGCTTGGCCGAAAGCAGATGTAGCTTTGCGAGTCATGAAAAGCTGACCCTGCTGCTGCTCCCTCCTCCATCTTTGTTCAGATCATTATCTGCCGAACCATGCCGTGGGCCAAGAAGAATCTCAACCACACAGCACAGGCTCTTATCATCAGCTCAGGTAGGTGGGGAGTGATGGAGCGTTTCAATCAAATCGATCTAGAAAGTCAACCACACACGGCACAGGTGGATGGGGATTGATAATGTGTTTCCAGTTGAGTCTGACTCATGCTCTCAATATTCGCTCTGGTAAGTGGGATTTGGCTGTGCACTTTTTTCTCTTCAAGAAGCATTTAGAACTGGAGGGACCCCCCCGCCCCCCCCTTAGACTAGACGCCATCCACACCCACTGCAGCTGGAATTTATTCCAATTTGTCTTCTGTTTGTAGATTTGTTGTGCTGGGCCGTAAGCGTTATTTCGAAGAGCAGAACTTGCGCTTCATTCATTCCTTTTCTGACCAGCTGCCTTTGCAGCGTACGTCTCACACCGGAGCACACTATAATGGACTGCACTTCACATTCCGCAAGTCCATCCCTTCTCCTCCACCCCGTTTGTCTGAGCAGCCGCCATTGCCGCGTATTTCATTACATCGGAGCACACTATTATGGAGTGCACACACCGTAAGTCCATGGAGGCCATACATGCGAAGAGGAAAGCCAAGGCCGAAGCTGCTGGATCACAATAGTTGCTGGACTGGACACTCTGTTTTGAATGTGGACATTACGCATCATCTTGTTCGATAGGACGCAAGTGTGAGTCGTTTATTTCTTCAGTTTGCTGCATTGTTTTAAAACCATGCATTGGTGCCCTGCAGCACCTTCTGTTGCCTGCAATTGCGTCAGGTTGCTGCATCACCAGCTCTCATGGTGTATTTAAAGATTAGGAGGGGAGCAAGCTGCTTTCTAAATTACTACTTGACAGGCTCTTATAGCAATACAGGAATGTGAGACTAAATTTAGGATACTCCACAAGGGGAAGTAGAAAAAATGTTATTCAGGACTATACAACACAATGAATCAATAAACATACCGGTACCGTTTAAGCAGCCAAGTGCTGCTGCAGCTCTGCTGCCGCTGCACTTTATTCTCCTCCCCACGGCTTTCTGCAAACCAGATGCTCTGCACCTTGGAACTCCACAGACACCTCCCACCATAAACCCTAATCCTGCTGCTGCTCTCTGTCTGCCCCTCTGGTCGCCACATAGTCTTCTGAAACACCAGAAACGTCTTCCTTCAGCAAAACGCGCCGCATCTAAACTACCATCTCACTGCTGCTGCTCTGCCTGCCCCTCTGGTCGCCACATGGTCTTCTGAAACACCACAAACGCATCTCCCTTCCTTCACCAGCACTGTCTGGCTCCACCCTAACCCCCTCGCAACCCACTCACATGGTACTGCTGCTCCTGTGTTTGCCCCAACCTATGTCCCTGGCAAACTCTCATTACTGCTGCTGCTCTACCTGCCCCTCTGGTCGCCACATGGTCTTCTGAAACACCACGAACGCCTCCCTCCCTTCCTTCACCAGCACCGTCTGGCTCCACCCTAGCCCCTTCGCCACGGCCTGCAGGAAAGGGATGTGCTGCGCGTGCTCGCGGGCTATCAAGTAGCCAAAGGGGCGAAGAATTCGGTCGATCTCGACCACTATGTCTGCTGCCTCGCACCTGGGAGGGGAGAGCAGGGGAGGATGGTGTAGGGATGAGAGAGGAGAACGGGATGTGATGCGCGTGCTCCCGGGCTATCAAGAACCCCCAGGTGCGCAGGATTCGGTCGATCTCCACTGCTATGTCCCCAGCCCAGCAGCCCTGATCCCAGCAGCCCTGATCCCAGCAGCCCCTCACTCTCACCACTTTTCAGTGAGCTCCTTTCCGAAGTGATGATCCCAGTGCACGAGGTCGTAGGTGCGAGGGTACGTGTTGTTGAGCCCCTCACACCAGCCGTGGCACACAAGACGGCTAACGTCCAATATCACCTGGTTCCCACCACCTGCAATCCGCCTTGGTGCTTCTCACCTCATTTCAGTGAGCTCCTTCCCGAAATGGTGATCGTGCGAGGATACGTGTTGAGCCCCTCACACCAGCCGTGGTACACAAGACGGCTAACGTCCAATATCACCTGGTTCCCACCACCTTCAATCCCCTTGGTGCTTCTCACCTCTTTTCCGTGAGCGCCTTCCCGAAATGGTGATCCCAGTGCACGAGGTCGTAGGTGCGAGGATAGGTTTTGAACGCCTTGCACCAGTCGTGGTACACATAACACGCCCAGCAGCCCTCAACCCAGCAGCTCCCAGCTCAGCAGGCCTCAGCAACCTGCTGCTTGGCCCCAGGCCTCAGCGCTCACCTCTTTTCAGTCAACGCCTTCCCAAAATGGTGATCCGAGTGCACGAGGTCGTATGTCCGTGGATAGGTGTTGAACGCCTCGCACCAGTCATGGTACACTCCCAGCAGCCCTCGGTCGAAGACGACTGGCAGGGTGTCAGGGCTGGTTGTGGGCACCACGCTCATCACCCACACAGGCTTGGCGTTTTCTAGAGCAGCACCGAAACTGGGGGATGGGGGTAAAGCAAGGGAAGGGAAAGCAGGGGAAGGGCAACGAGGTAAGGGCACCAGTCGTGGTACACTCCCAGCAGCCCTCTGTCAAAGACGACTGGCAGGGTGTCAGGGCTGGTCGTAGGGACCACGCTCATCACCCACACAGGCTTAGCCTTTTCTAGAGCAGCACCGAAACTGTGGGGAATGCGGGGTTGCAGGGCAAGGAGGGGAAGGGAATGAGGGGAGAACACCAGTCGTGGCACACAACACTCCCAGCAGCCCTCGGTCAAAGTCGACTGGCAGGGAGTCAGGGCTGGTTGTGGGCACCACGCTCATCACTCACACGGGCTTGACACCCCCCAAGGCAGCGCAGAAGCTGGGTATGGAAGAGGGGTGGAATGGGGCATTGAAAGGGTTAGTCAGAGGATGTTACTGGCAGGGTGGCAGGGAGTCCAGGCTGGTTGTGGGGACCACGCTCATCACCCACACGGGCTTGACACGCTCCAAGACAGCGCCAAAGCTGAATGGGAGAATTGGGTGGGGCAACGGCAGAATGATAGGGCGAGTGGGTGAGTGGGTGAGTGAGTGAGTCAGTGGGGCAATGATAGGATAAGCGGCAGGGTGGCAGGGTGTCAGGACTGGTTGTGGGCACCACGTGCATCGTCCACACGGGCTTCGCTCGCTCCAAGGCAGGTCCAAAGCTGAATGGGAGAATCGGTATCTCCATTGGAGAGGGGTGAGTTGGTATCACAGTTAGGGTGGTGGCTGGCAGGGTCTCGGGCTGGTTGTGGAAACCACTTTCACTGTCCACACTGGCTTAACACGCTCCCAGGTAGTACCGATACTGTGGGGGAAGGGAAAGGAGGAAAAGCACCAGTCGTGGTGGACCCCCTTTGCTGAGTCTGCACGCCCTCCCAGTTGGTCCCCAACCCATCCACATAATGCCGCACCACCCGCTCCCCATGCCCCACTCAGTGCCTCTCTAGGCACCACAGCACAGGCACGAAGCAACTTCGTTTTGAGTCGTGTTTTGAGTCGTGTTTTGAGTCGACTCAAAAGCAACTTAGTGCCGCACGCCCTCCCACCGAATCCCAAGCCCTTCACCACTGGCAAAGAAGCAACTCAAGTGCTCCCATCCATCCCATCCCCACTCACCCGCCATAGCGTGCGTCCATATCAAGCACGTTCCGCAAGCCCTCCCATTTGATCCCCAGCCCATCCACATAATGCCGCACCACCCACTCCCAATGCCCCACTGCCTCCCAGCTCACTCACCCGCCATAGTGTGCATCCATATCTAGCACGTTCCGTACGCCCTCCCACCGAATCCCCAGCCCATCTACACAGTGCCGCACCACCCGCTCCCAATGCCCCACATCGTGCTGATACTCCTTCACTACTGGCCGCCTATACACCCCCACCACCTCCCCTCTCTCTCCCCAAGGTGTGGAAGCAGCAAATCACTCACCCGCCATAGCGTGCGTCCATATCAAGCACGTTCCGCACGCCCTCCCAGTTGATCCCAAGCCCATCCACGTAGTGCCGCACCACCCGCTCCCAATGCCCCACATCGTGTTGATACTCCTTCACTACCGGCCGCCCATACACCCCCACCACCTCCCCTCCTCTCTCCTCCCCTCCCTCCTCCCCTCCTACCCTCCCGCTCTCCTCCCCTCCCGCCTCCTCTCTTATCTTTCTCCCCTTCCCTCTCCCCAACCACCCTGGAACCGCAGTCAACCGCTCTTCACCCTCCGCCGGCCACGCGCCGCCCCTCTCCTCCTTCCCGGACGGCACTGGATGCAGACATGCCTGCATGGGGATGTACCACGCCGCATCCGCGTTGTCCTGTAGCGGGCACATGGGCGGCAGGGCGCCGGCCGGCCGGGCGGCGTAGCAGTCGTTGCTGGTCGGCTTCTGCCACACGGCTACCCCGATGCCGAACCCGTGGCTGATCTTCTTACCCACGCGCTTCCAGCACATGCTGGCTGTGAGATTCGACATGGCTGGGAAGGGGGAGGTGGGGAGCGTTGAGGGGGAGATGGGGGGAGATGGGGGAAGGGAGAGGTGGGGTATGTGGGGGTGTCTGCCACACGGCTACCCCAATGCTGAACCCGTGGCTGATCTTCTTGCCGACACGTTTCCAGCACATGCTGGTGGTGAGATTTGTCATGGCTGGTGGTGATGGCGGGGGAGGGAAGACACGTGGGTAAGGGGGGGGAGAAGGGTTCATGCTGATGCCAAACCCATGGCTGATCTTCTTTCACACGCGCTTCCAGCACATGCTGGCTGTGAGGTTTGTCATGGCTGGGAATGGGAGTGGACAGAAGGTGGGAGACGGGGGGTGGGATAGGGAAGGGAGAGGAGGGGCTTGGTCTGGACTTCTGCCACATGGCTACCCCGATGCCGAACCCGTGGCTGATCTTCTTACCCACCCGCTTCCAGCACATGCTGGCTGTGAGATTCGACATGGCTGGATAATGGAGGGGAGGTGGGGGAGCGTCGAGGGAAGAGAGGGGTGGGATGGGGGGAGAAGGGGGAAAGGAGAGGTGGGGTATGTGGAGTGGGGGTGTCTGCCACACGGCTACCCCAATGCTGAACCCGTGGCTGATCATCTTGCCGACACGTTTCCAGCACATGCTGGTGGTGAGGTTTGTCATGGCTGGATAATGGAGGGGGGATGAGAAGACAAGTGGGTAGTGGGGGAAAAGGTCTCATCCCGATGCCAAACCCGTGGCTGATCGTCTTACCCACCCGCTTCCAGCACATGCTGGTGGTGAGGTTAGTCATGGCTGGATAAAGTTGGGACAGAGAGAGGGAGAAGTTGGGAGAAGAGTGGGGAAGAATGGGACATGTGTGTCTGTGCAATGGCGAACCCGTGGCTGATCTTCTTACCCAGCTGCCTTCAGCACGCACATGCTTACTTACAGTGCGATTCGACATGCTCGAAACGTGCATTACCACATCTCAGTGTGCATTACACAAAGCGATGACTTTTGAGTCGACTCAAAAGTCACCTCATGCTCGAAACCACATCTCAGTGTGCATTACACCTTCTCAACGTCCTCTCACCTTTCCAACCGCCTCTCGATGTTTCGACCGCTTCTCACCTGCCCTTTTTCCTTCGTCATCAGTGCCCTTGGCAGCACACTCCTTGCACA